TTTTTTCCCTCCTTTCTACCTGGCCAGCACTGATGCGCACTCCCCGGAGCGATTTGCATGGAGTCAGTGCCGCAGGGCTCCTTCTCGTCCTCATCCAGCACGTTCCTGCTTTTGAGTGCTGATGTTCAGACACTGCGCCAGCACAGCTCTCAGATCAGCACCGGTTCAACACATGCAAAAGCACAGGATTGCTCTGTTGTTTTTAATTATTGGGTGAGGTGACAGATTAAAAAAGTGAGAGAAAAGGACTTGATTATGCTGTCATTTGCTGAATATAAATGGCTAACATACGGTATAGATCATCAGAGGATGAATTGCATTATTATAAAATGAAATGTGAGGAAAAAGGAGCCAATAAGAAATATTTAAGACCATCTCATGAGTTCCTGGAGATAGACTAGTTTATTCTAGTTGAAGCAAAGAAAGTACTGTCCTCGTAAGGTTCCATCATTTCTGATTTGAATAGATTATTGTGGTTTTTAATTAAAAGCCACATTTGGGACCTACTGTAGAATTTGCAAGGACTAACAGCAGAAGTATTTGCCTTTAGCTAGGTGAGCTCACAGACTTTCTGATTACAAAGCAGCACAGCACTATCAGCTATCTAGTTTGAAATATTTTTGCTTCCAGACTGAGCCTGTAAGACTTTGTAAGTACATATGCAAACATTCGCATATTCAAAGGGTAGTTTGCAAAAACACCACCATATACCATTCTTCTCTGGCATAACCAACTACATTTTGGAAAGTTTCTCTCCAACCACAAAATTTATGCTTGAAAAAAGAAACGTCAAGAAAAAGGAATTTGCCTCCTTCATTCACCCATCAGGAACCAGGATTCCAAATTCCAGATTCATTCTGATGATAAACGTCCTACTGTATTAATACATAGTGTGTTTACACCAGCTGGAGCTATACAAAAGGCTGCACTTTCAGATAAGCATTAGTCTACCTAGATAGACTACTCTGAAATATGTTTTCAGTCTAAAATTGCAAAATTTCTTTTTTTAATCTACTACCTATTTTATCATTAGTCAAAAAAAAGTTGGCTTCTGGCATCTATCTTTTTTCTCAAACATGGAAAACATTAGTGACATCCATCATCTTTTTATAATTAAACATAGAAATCTGACCATATAACTTTGAAAAAAAAATATTGTGTAGTTTGTAAGGAAAGCTGGTTGATTTAAGCATTTTGAGAGGGTGCATCACAGGTTTTTACGTTTAAAAAATAAACAAATTCTTTATTTCACACGTGTGAACACTTCTTGCATGTTGTCACAGAAACGCACGGTTTAAATCACTGATTGAGTGCAGCTCAGAGAACTGTCATCTTTTGAGCCATTTAAATAATGAACAGGATAAAAACATACTGCTTGCTTTTCTTTTTCTTTTAAATTAAGTGTGTCCAGGAGTTCAAGCACTACGTCACCATGAGTCAAAGGTCTGCTAATTCCCTGAACACCAGTTCCAGCTAAAGGAAAAAAACACCAATAGGGATACTTGCAATGGTATCCTTCCCTATTTTAAGGGGGTAAAGTGCCTGGATTCTCCCTCTCAAGGTACACAACAGTTTCTGGGAAGCAGAAGATGCCTGGTGCTCTTCCAGCAAGGCAGAGCTTTCTGAGAGCACCAGCGGTCCCCACACAGAGGCAGAAGAGTGTCGTCTTTATCACACAGCTTCCCAGCCTGTGCCACCCGCTGTAAGAAGCACTCTGGCACCAGAAGACCCCTTTGTGCCTACTGGTGGGCACTCCCAAATAGTTCTGTAGAATCTCAGCATGAGGCCAACGGTATGGGCCCTATATTTGCAGAATTTCTGGCTTATTCATTGCTTGTATAGTCTTACTGAGGATGGAAAAGGGAGGCATCTGAAAACATAATTTCTATACATCTGGGGAAAGTTAGGTAAGGATGTAAAAACAGAAATCCTTTCTCACTCTTTATAAACTGATGAACACCTAATCCTTTTCCACTTTTTTTTTTTTCCTTTCGTGGAACAAAATAAGAGAAAGCAGTTCTGTAATATTTTTTTTTTTTAATTTTTATTATTTTTTTACACAATTGCACAGTGGCTGATCTCTAGTTTAACTGGGAGGTGTCTAACATACCATTCCTTGGCTCACAATGCACTAGCACAATGCTGCAGTGTTCCAGGGAGGTGGGGGAGCGGAGTAGGGCAATGTAGGTGTGATCCTGGGAGGGAACCCCATGATAGATGCTTTCATCTGGCCTAGTCTCTTTGTAGGATTTCAATTTCTAGATTTCATTTTCACTTTATATATTTCCAAGCTAATAGATTTCATGGGGATTTTTTTTACACAACGAAAAATTCTAAAAAATGCTAATAATCCACTGTAGCTTATTCAAATTATTTTAAAAGAGCAGGAGAACATTAGAGCTAGCTCTGACTGCCTGTATATTGCAAAACATTTTGCTGCATACCTGTGTGCTGAGATCAGTAACTTTGAATATGGCATCTCTTCTAGAATGGCAGCTCTGATCTGCAGTCCCCAAGAGATGGCAAATTCGCCACCTCCCTTATTAGCTCCTGCTGGTGGTGAATAAACCTAACAATCGAGGAAAAACATTTTCCAGTCTGATTTCACACCTTTGTGCCAGTGCATGAGAAACAAGAACTGACCAGCTGTGAATTAAGCAGTCTGGCTTTGCTGTCTGAAAGAAGTCACTCCCAGAAAGAAAGAAAATCTGTATCAGAAGCCGATGAAGAAAAAGATTTACGTTTTTTTTATTGTTATTATTATTATTCTACTGTGCATAATCTAAGGCATCTTTAGTCACTGTACATTAGGTAAGGGTAACTTAAAAAATATTGACTAAATCATCCTGCACCTCTGACCAAATACTTGGTGAGGGTATGTTCCCCCTGACTTCAGGGAGAAGTCTGACTAAGCAGGGACTGAGTCACTGCTGCGGTATTTAGTTCTGCATTATTGATATATCGTCAATGTGCCTTCAAAGAGCCTGGCAGGGCTGGAACTCATATTCTACCACTCTTATCGGGGCTGAATGCTGATGGAGAGGGGGAAAGGGGAGGTGGGAAAGTGCTACGTGGTGACACAGCCCTCTGCCTGTCACACGACACGGACTGCGCTCGGCACTGACTGTGGTGCCACTGTCCTCTCAGCACCCCGCTTTCCTCAGAAAATCTACCCCAGAGCTACCATTGAACCAGGAGCTCATGAATGGGAACACTACGTGCCCTTACATTTATTTTATTTAAATGAGCTGGTTCAGTGAAGCCAACTGCGAGTTCTAAGAATGGCAAGAGTTATTTTTGTACTTCTTCCTTCTGAAAACACGTGATTGAAGCGCAACCTTTTCACAGCATGAACCTAATCTAAATCTCTGGCTTTGAACAAACTCAAACTCTGGTGTCCAAAAAAAGAACTCAAAATGTCTCTAGCCTCAATAATCAAAATCCCAGATACAAACACTCCTGAGTGAGAAGGTATTCACGTTTAAGTGTGGATTTAGGCTGAGCTCACTGCTGTGATTTTTGCTAGTGTCGTGGGAAGCTCGTCCCTATACATGCACAGTTTAAGCAGGAACAGAGACCCAAGCTCTAATATAGGCTGCTGGTAAAGTCCTGTGCTTTTGAACATGAAAAGGAAACACCAAAGATTTACCTTCCTAAGCCAATGTTGTGCATGTTCTCTACATAGCAAAGAGCCATGACTGCAGTCTGATTCCTTGTAAAATACATATACGACTAACACAGCAAGACCTCATCCTGAACAAAAAGGAGTTAGGCAAAAAACAGTTGTATGTGTATGTACGTGTCTTGATTTCCACACAGACAGGTAAAATTACTTACAATTAACTGGATCCCTACCAAGATCCCAAGCCAGAAAAGCACTTACATACATGTTTGACGTTTCTCATACAAAGATACCTTCCTGAATCAAGGCCTGAGCAAGTTAGTTTTTTAACATTTCTTCTTTAAAATGGGCCAAAATGACGGCTACTTTCCATGTGTCTGACTCCACTGGATGAGACAGTTTCATCCACCGACTCCAGCAGTGTATTTAGGACACACTTTTTCATTTTGGTTTTGTCTGTCTGTACTTCTCCAGCAATGCTTTTCCTTTTCTTTGGCCTGTCCGTTCAGTCAGTGATGAAAGAAAGACCACACTGAGATGAAAGTAAGAATTGATCCGTGTGATTCCCTGCTGCCCTTCTTCTCTTAGATCTTCAGGTCAGACAAAGAGCGGTTACTAGTAGCCCATGAACAAATGTGGGAAAACAGCTTATTATCTGTAATCTCAAGTTAAGGCAGGCACGTCAAGCAGTACATTAGTGCATGCTCTCAGAGTCTGACAACAAAATTTGCCCCAAGGGAATATTGCTTTCATTGATTATTCCTTTCCTATTACTAACTGCAAAACCAGAAAAAAATCAAGGGTTGAGCAAGTCTGCCTGCTGTTTAGAAACTATCATTTCATCATCTGGGAAAGACATCAAATCCTAACAAATGGTCAATCAAATGACTCTACAAATTCACCATTCTTATTCATAAAATCTTCTACAGTGAGGGTAAAACTGATGTCAAATTTTGTCTACCAGCAATTGGAAAAGACTCTTGGGGAAAAGAAAAAGAGTAAAAGTGAAGTATTATCAAGTTTTCTTTTTTTTTTCCCTATGTTCTTTTGCATCATCCTAATGTTGGTTTCACAAGCTGAGGCATAGCAAAGGGCAATACCGGATTCTGAAGATGACTCTCATCTATTTGCTCAACCTGTCCAGAAAAATGGAACCATTTGCATCAGGAAATCACCGCTTGGTTTTTTTAACAAAAAGTTCCCAAAACAACAAAAAATGCACACGTACATGAACAAACAAACAAAAATAAAACTGACCCAAAAAACCAAGGCCCCCACCCTAGAACCCAGAGTCATTAGCTGTGAAGTAGCCAGTGGGAGGAGGAGTGTTTTGAAAGTTGTTTAATGCCTTCCCCAGAAACTGGTCTTTGTGGAAGGAAGAGGAGAACAGGAATGAAGAAGCTCAGCTAAAATGATGAAAGAAATTTGCAGTCTCTTTTTTTATATATTTTTACTCTTCCGTATCTGGAAAAAAAAAAGAAAAAGAAAAGCGTCAAATGCTGCCTTTCTCCCCTTTGTCCAAGGAGCAGGTAATCTGGGAAAGAAAAAGAAGGGTATCAGTTTAGACAGCCTCATTTCCTCCAAGCAGTGCAGCTTTGCTTAACTGTTGAAAGGCTGCAAGGTGAGGCACACCAAAGCAATACCTCTTACTGGCTCAACTAGAAATATCATTCTGTCCTACACAAAGTGAAATCCTGCTCTCTGACTAACCCAGTGGGAATTCAACGTTTGGCATCAATGGGATCATGTAACAGAATCCAGCATGCTTAGCTCAAGAGATTCCATTAGGTTTCTTTGCTGTAGGGCTCTCTGATCACCCTTGCTCACTAGCTCTTCCAGGAACTTTCTTCTCATGAAAGCAACAATGTCATACATGTGGTTTGAGGTGAAGAAGAGAGAATGCTCCAAACACAAAAGAGCACTACCTTTTAAAAGCCCCTTTCTCCCAAAGAGCATGCAATGAAAAGCACAGCCTTATGTATGGATAGCCGCCTGAGATCTAACAAAATATATGCATTTTACAATCTGCTTGACTCCTCTGTCAAACATGTATAATCCCTTGGCCTCAAAATTAGGCTATATTTGACTAACATTATCCTGAATGTACAAACATAACTGTTTTCTATGTAGTTATACCGCAAGCGAATCTTCAGAATGAACAGATATGCTTGAGGAAGAAATGTAGACAAGAAACCTTTTCCTTTATTTCTAGTGAAAGAGGACAGTTTCTAATGAAAGGGGACGCTCTATCCAACCCTCCTCATACCCTCCTCTAGAAATCCTTTGGAAAAGCTTCAAACAGGAACAGGAGTATTTTACTCTATATTGGCCATCCCAACCAGTTATCTGAATACGCCTGGCACTCTGCTTAGCTACTGTTATTCTGACAATGCTTATGTCAGCAGAGTTTGAAAGTGCATTTGAAAGGGTCTCTCAACCAAGGAGATGCAGCCCAAGGAGAGATGAATTTATCTGTAAGGCTGGGCATGCCTCGGAAGATGTGATTACGTTAGAATCTCTTCGGGTCCTTTCAGAAAACCAGTTTCTTTTGCCTTCAATAATATATTGCCTTTTTTTAAGTAATATTTGGGCAAAGGCAAAAAGGGACTGGCAAAACAAAGATCTAAGGCTTTGCTGCTGGATTGAATTATCTCTGATGAATGTATAGCAGTGGCTGCACAGATCTGTTAGTGAGTTGGTATCATTTTCTTCTACTGTGTAGTTAGCAGGGGGACTTTTCCTTTCAGGACAGTCCCCTGCAAGTTGTTACAATATCTTGCTCACTGATGCAATTCTAAGACACTGTTGTAAAGAATTAGGCTTTCAGCATTTCATTGGATTTATTTAGACTGAATTGTCACATTCCCAGCACTACCCAGACAGCATAATCTACAATGGGCAATAACACTTCCTTGATGTCTCCCATCTAAAAAGTTCAGCCTGATCTACTGTCATTAACAGGATCATAACAATCCTGTGAGATGCATCATTAGCCACATTTTAAAGAGAAAATACTGACCCAGAAGGAAAGGGGTCCTTCTGGGATGGGACACGTGCATTAACTGGACTAAATGACATCTTTGAGCAGTCATTATTTCTGAATCTCTTAAATGATTTGTTGAATCACACCAGGAATCTGAAACAGAGCTCCAGGTACCACCCAATATGGTCTCCCCTTCCTATGCCATCCATACTCACAAGACTTTTAACCCCTCCCGTCCCCGTTAGTGAAACGAGGGAAAATGCAATGTTTTTTCCCAGACTCTAGAAGTTCCCTGCGGAGAACTGAGTCATATATTGCTTTTTGCTTCTGTTAGCCACATCATCAGCTCCAATGAGACCATTCCAGTACAGCATTTGCTTTAAATTGTTTTTCTACTTGGTGGAGCAGATGTTTTGGTTTCCTCGCTGAATTTCCCTTTGGATACAATATAGCTTCCCTACAACTACCTTAACCTTGGATGTGATTCAGCCTCTTTCTCATTTCAGCACAATAGATCCAGTGCAAATATTAGTACGTATCAACAGAGGTAATTGAAAGTGGGAAAAGAATGAGTATACAGCGCTCGGTACACAGGAAGACTTCAAGTAGTTCACTTGGCATATATTGAATTTCATTATCTGAAATAGCCTCGTCTGAATGCAGATCTCAGTCCTTCAGTGTTGCTGACGAGTTTATATTGTTTGTCAAGGTTGAGTATTGGCCCTCCCCTTGATCACTGATGCAAATACCAGCGACTTCTACAGCTCTTCATGTGATACCAGCACCCACTGCAAGGAGATTATTAAGTCCGTTTCTGCTATCAGCTTGCAGTTTATATTAAGGCATTTTTAACTTGTGCTTGCTGGACTATGAATATATATATTTACTATGTTACTATACAGTCTGACATACTGAAGTGAAAATGCACTGCAGTTTGTCGTTTCCTTCACACAGAATTACTCAGAGTACAACTGTATCCATACAGCAAGGAAGCTGGCTGTCAGTTTTGCACAATCAGTGATTAATCTCACACATTTGCCTCTCTCCTTGTGATAAAACAAATGCTTTGGAGTCCAAGGCCTTACAAGAACTACTCGTTTTAACAGTTGGCATTTCTTATGCCTGTCTAATGCAAACTTTCACAATCTGCTACCCAGTTGGAGAACAGGAACAGAGCCCCAGAGGCATTTAGACTGAGGTGAGAGTTTAGACTGACTCAAAAACTACACCTGTTCTGTAATGACTCACGCTCCTCACTGAGTGTAAATCACAGGCATGATGACGGTTGTACCAGTTGGAAGTGGAGAGCTGACCTCTCCCAGCTTCTGAAGGCGGCCGGCTCTGCCGCTCCAGCCGAACGCCTGCCCTTTCCCTCCATCCCTTCCTCCCCAGCCGCCAAAAGCAGAGTGCTGGCCGGAGAGGGCTCAGGGCACCTCCCCACAGCCTCCAGTGCCAGGCCGGGCCATCAGGACAAGACCGAGCTCTGTGGTTTTCAAATTGCATTTAAAAGAAAACTCTGCTATTTTCTCTCCTAAAAAATAAATGCTGAATGCAGACTGCAGGACAGTGTGATGTGGAATAAGGATTTCATGGGCAGCTTTTTTTTCACAAACTACTTAGCTTGCTTGGCAGACCCTGTCAATGAAAGTGTTTGTGAGGTTATTGCATGGTCCCTGTTTCCTCTGCTCAAACATGCATTCCTTTAGCGTAACCATACTTAATTATGAAGGAAGCACAAGATGACACCACAATTATCCAGGATTACACACGTGGATTTTCTTTCTAAGGAGACTGTGGTAACCTTGCAGTTCACTTGTGAAAAGGTAGTACTTAGCATGAACAAATCTCATCTTCTTCGCATGCTGCATGAGCACTTCCACAGGATGGGAGAACTCCGCCACACCACCAAATAATGTTGCCCTTGAGGTACTTCTACCCCAAGATATTTTTGAGTTAGAATTTAATACACAGAAAAAGCAAAAGAAGAGAGCCTCAGTTAACCATATTCATTCAGTACATCCCTCATTGAGCTCTCTATGGTGATGCCTTTTCATGCTTTTATGATGTAACATCATAAAGATATCAACAAAAAAAAAAATCAGCATACAATTATATTAAAATCAACATTTTTGTACTTTTTATATTTTATTCTTGAAAATTAAGGGAAAAAAACTGAATCCTACAGGCTTTCTCATTTCTATTAAAATCAGATTCTCTTGTCACACCCCAATAACCATGTGTGTAACACAGACTGTCAGTGTTACGTACTAACATAAACAGCAGATATCTAAAGGGTTGCACTTGAAGGACAGTTGAATACACAAAAGTTTATGCACGCTATGACTCTTTAGCGTGAGAAGGGAGAGTTGCGGGGAGACTCTCCGCATGAGTGACGCTAAGAATGTGAATAGGGAACAATTACTCACTGTTTCTCACAGTCCAAGAAGGGGGTTATCAAATGAAATTATCAAGCAGTAGGTTTGAAACCAATAAAAAGATGTCATTTTTCACACAATGCCTAAGTAAATTTTGAATTGTGTTGCCTCAGTGCCCAGTACACAAAAGAGTACCAGGGCTCTAAAGACAATTAGACAAAGTAATGGAAGAAAAATCCATCAGAGGCTATTCAAGTCAGAGATTTGACCTCTGCCTTAGCTCTCTGGAAGACAGAAAGGTGTAAGGGGGAGGCATTGGTCTGGTTTTGTTCTTTGTTCATTAAGATCTCTGCTATGAAATGTTGTCAGGTAAGTGATGGAGAGCTAAAGCGACTTTTGGTCTGACCCAGCATGGTTGTTCGAGTGTTCCTAAGAAAGCTGACATGGTGTTTGAAAGTAGCCTCCACCCTCATTATTAAAAGCCTAGGCTTTTCAGGATAAGACTATTCCAAACTCTGCTTTCTTCCAGACTCTGCTCTCCCCCAGCACCCTGCTCCATCCAGGCACTGGGTGAAACGACAACAGAAATGACAAATTGTTGTATGGCAGACCAATTGTTCTATGGCAATTGATATCATAAAACGGTTACTACAGATGCAGTGCACAATAAGGGGAAATAATAGTCTCAGTAATGTGTCTCAGATAACCCATAATCCAAAAGGTAGTTATCCTTCCTACTACAAATGATGGAAGAATTTGCAGCTGGTGGGACAGATTGCTAAATTTGCCACTTTTAATTCCTTTTGTGGACTCACTCGGCATCTTGCAGGAGTCACCCCTTAATTTTGTAAGCTTACTCCCAAAAGCCTGGGTATCTCCTGTCTCCCCTGAGTGCTAAAGTGTGCTTAGTCGTAACCTGTCCCCATCTGAAAAGCACTGTTAAAAGCTACTCCTAGCACTCAGAATAAAATGAAGATGTCAAAAATCTCAGTGCTCAGTTCTCAGCACTGGATGATCCTGACTCCTATTAAAGCCATTTGGAAAGCCTTTTCGAAGAAAATTAAGACCATGAAGAAATAAATTCTGCATATTTATGCTATTCTCTT